GGGCTGGAATTACATGCTGCAGATAACCTGCAGTAAACTACCTATTGTGGGTTATCTGCAATCCAGAGTGAAACTGCTCCATTACACGCGTGTTTTATTGTGACAAAGACAGAGCCCCTGGCTGCCCCATCTCCTGGCAAGGACGACCCTCGCCAGCCTGCACCGGCCACCCAGCAGCGTCGGTATTACCTGGAGAGTCAGCTTCGGCAGCTGCCCTTCCTCCTCTGCAGGGCTTCCTTGTCTGGGGGAGCGGCTGGTGTCTCCCCAGCTCTCAAAGATGCTGCCTCCACAGCAGGGCTTCCTTGTCTGGGGGAGCGGCTGGACGGGTGTCTTCCCAGCTCTCAAAGATGCTGCCTCCACAACCACCATCATCCAGACCCCTGCCTGCCTGAAGCCTTACTGCCCTTTAAAATGGTGCCCCATGAACGCTATACGAAAGTGCAGTGAAGTATAAGGTCAAGTGAAACGACGTACACCTTACTGCGCACAGAGACCGTGCTGTTCTGGTGCCTCTCCGAAACGTTATGTCCCGGCTGTGCCCAGTCATGGGTTCTTGGGGGCTGCCGGGAGGAAGAGAGCTGCTTCGGAAGGTTATGACCTTCCTATTGGCGGAATCTTTGAATTTTGGAGGTCTGTGCGTTTTGTTAAATTGTCTGCCAATTGCTTGGAAATCTGCCCAAAAAGAAAGGTGTTTCCCTCACCTTTGCCTCACCTTTGTGATATCTAAGCAACTGATTTTGCGTCGCTGGGAGGGGGAAACTAATCATCATCATCATCATCATCATCATCATCATCATCATCATCATCATCATCATCATCATCATCATCATCATCATCATCATCCTGTTTTAAGTGCATTTACTTATTTGTCTCCCCATCCCACCCCAAAAAGCTAAAGTGAATTCCAGATGGCAAGATGTCCTTCTGGAAAAGTTTGCATCACTTGAAATCTGTGGAAAAAGGAGAGGCTGAGGATCTCCGGGGCCATTGTTGCTGCTGCCAAGTGTGAGATGCAGTTTGTGTGTGTGTGTGTATGTGTGTGTTTGTACGCGCATGCGCTCGCAAGTGTGAGATGCAGTTTGTGTGTGTGTGCGTGTGTGTTTGTACGCGCATGCGCTCACGCCTGTCCTTTGGGGTTTGTTATCCAAACCAAACTGAAGCCTCCTCGCACCGCCCTGCAAAGGGCCCGGCTGGATTAGTCATCGAGGAAGCAGCTGCAGGGAGAAAAAAGGAGCTTTATTTGGAAATGTGGAGAATGGAGAGAGGAGGCTGGGAAGGTCTTTGCAAAAGCCGGCTTGGAAGGAAGCCGTGCTTTTTCACCTGGTGCGAATTTCGCCACGTTTCCTGGGAACCCGTTGTATTAGCTCACCACATCAGCCTTCTTATTAACAGCCCTGTGGGCTGCAGCCGCGGAAGAGAGAGAGGCAGGATGATCGGGGCAGGCCAGGGCCTTCTTACTTTGCCTCTGGGGCCAAATTCTGGGGCCAAATCAATAAATATCTGTAGGATTCCCCAGGCCGTGTTGTCCCTTCCACCTCAAACCCTCTTCCCATTCAAAAGAATGGGCTGTGCCCCTCTTCACAGGACTTGACTAGAAATTAAGAGCTTTAAGCCAAAAGAAGCAGGAATTTGGGGACCTTCCTTTTCAGCCCCTTCCGCTCTTCCCCAGGAGGGTGTCAACCTCCAGCCCTCCGGTTCAGAGGCGTTCCCCTTCATTGAGCTAAGCAAGCCCTTCCGTTTACACCGGATTTAACCTCCAGCAGTTCTTTCAGGGCTTTCACCTCATTCCATGACCGGAGATCTGTTTTCATGAAGGGGTTCAACCTGAGAAATGTCTTTTGCATATCTTGGAAAAGTTCTTCAGCGTGTGTGTGTGCGTGAATGCATGCAATTACCTTGCAGCACCCCTATGAGTGAGCGATTTCCATATGCATCCATATTTGTTTTCCATGTGAGCTTTCTTCACTGTCCCGCTTTCACACCCATATGCAATGACCAGGAATACAAGAGGGTGGATGATCTTGGTCTTTGGTCTCCTGTGACCCATCCTTACCCTTGGCGATCTTTTCTGATTCCTTCATGGCTGCCCTTCCGAGTCTCAGCCTCCTTCTGATTTCTTGGCTGCAGCCTCCACCGTTTGGATGGACGACTGAATCAAGGGAGACAAAATCTCTTAACGCTCTAATGGTGCATATGTGGAAAATTCCCAGTACCTTGTGGGAGACCCTCGGTGGCACAGCCAGCTCTGGTTCTCTCACAGAAAGTGGGGAATTAAAAATTATTGTTGTGACTCACACAACTTTTTAAAACCACTGGTTATGGGATTACAGTGGGGTCTTGACTTGAGAACTTAATCCGTATTGGAAGGCGGTTCTCAAGTCAAAAAGTCTGTAGGTCAAGTCTCCATTGACCTACAGTGCATTGAAAACCGATTAATCCCGTAACAGGCCGTTTTTGTTCCATTTATGGTTTTTTTCTGGTCTGTAAGTCAAATCTCAGTCTGCAAGTCAAACCTAAATTTTGCAGCCAGAGAAGTCTGTAACTCAAAAAGTCTGTAAGTCAAGCCGTCTGTAAGTCAAGGGTCCACTGTAATCGGTTTTCAATGCATTGTAGGTCAATGGAGATTCGACTTACAGACTTTTCGACTTGCAGCCACCATTCCAATACGGATTAATTCCTTAAGTAGAGGGTCCACTGTATGGGCCTTTCCTTCCCTGATGAAGAAGAGGGAGAGAGAAAGTACACAGGAGAAGCCCTGCATTGACCAACGGGCTTTCTACCGCTGGGAAGAAATGTAGGCGAATGGGACTCAGGTTGACGGGATGAGTGCCGTGTGGGTCCTTGCAGCCACTTCACACTCGGCAGGCATTGTGGCAGAGAGATGAAGAGATGGCCGCCTCCTCATCGGCTTGAGTTCACCTTAAGCTACACAAGAGCACGGACGTTAAAAATGTTGGCCACCCTTCCCATTCCTTTTCAGAGAAGTTCCACTGAAGGCTGCGGTGGTGGGTGTGGTCAAAGCAAAAGGGGTGGGGCTTAAAATCCCATCTTGATTGAGCTTAAAGCCCTTACGTGCCAATAATTAAGTCTTAGGAGAAGCATTGCCAGCTTTGAGAAGGGTGCGAACCGATCCAGCAACTTGGAAACTGCCTCACAATGGTGGAGGAGAGAAATCTTATACTGGGAAATCTCATACTGGGACCGCAAGGGGGCTTGGAGATGCACGTCCCCACCGTAAGGTGCATCAGCACCACCCCAGTTAGGAGCATGGTGGCCATCATCCTTGAAACCGTGAACAGGTCCTGTCCCTCTGCGCCTTCCACCCACGCCTTTGGCCGGTCTCGCCGTTAACATTAACAAACTGTAACAAGAGACCGAAAGGCTGTTAATAAAACCACCGGCTGAACTAATGTTTGAGTTATGACTCGTTAAGATTATCCTTTCAACATTCCAAGGTGCTGAAGCCAAGGGAACAGGGCAGAAACTTTCGCAAATTGCCTTAAAAGTGAACATGACACACCAGACGCCGACTGGGAAAGATTAGACCAAGTTAGGAGAGGGAAACCATATAGGGCGGCTTCGAATGGGTCAGCAGCCGCTCCTCGTTTCCCGAATCACACCTCTTAGGTCAAGGGAAGGAGAAAGTGGGTTGGGGATAAAAAAAAGGCAACTTAGTACAAAAATTCGTATTTATAGAAGCTTTTGTCTAAATACTTGGTGAAAGAATTTTAAACGATCTGCTCTCAAAAGGGAAGGAGGGCGCGATCCTCCGAGACTTTGCGTCTCTTACTAATGTAAGCAGTGGTGGGTTTTTTTTTGCTGCCTCTTAGGACTGCATGTTTATGCCCCAAATTCACTAAATTGAGTTTCCAGGTATTAAAAATACTCCCCAGCTGTTCATGTTTGGTAAGGCTGCTCACAGTCCACTGCCTTGATACGGACCTTTGGTTTCTGAATCTAATACTTCCTTGACTTCTGTATTTTTAGCACAGGGACGGGCAAAATGCCTCTTCCTAGATGTTGTCAGATTACCGTTCCCAGCAGCCGTGGTATACCGCATAACTGGCGGTGAAGAAAGGAAAGGTCTGGTCTAACAGCACCTGAAGGCTGTATTTTACTACCTGTGCTTTAAGGCAAATATCTACTTTTTTTAAGATTCTAGGGGGAAATTCTTTTTAAAGGCAGAAAGAGCTGCCTGCTTGCTTGCTTGCTTGCATGCTTGCTTGCTTGCATGCTTGCTTGCTTGCATGCTTGCTTGCTTGCATGCTTGCTTGCATGCTTGCTTGCTTGCTTGCTTGCTTGCTTTTAAATATCTTTACCCTGCCTTCTTCCATAAGAAGGAACCACTGGAGCCCTACGAGGGGTGCCATATCCCTCAAGTAAAGCTCAGAAGATCTCAAAATCATCCTCTCCCAGGTGAGGAAAGAAGGTGCCTGAGGGTGCCACCATGTGGTCTCCAGCAAGCCAGCTCTGAGTGTTTTCATTTCGCTGACGGACAACTCCTTTCCTTTTACCTCCTATGTCTGACGAAGGGGACGTGTCCACGAAAGCTCACGTTAAAACATAACCGGTCAACTTTAAGGTGCCTCAAGATTTTTGTCTTTTTAATTATTATTATTTTCCTTTAGAGTTTTGCTTGATGTGCTTGTATATAGATTAACGCGGTTACCTCCTCTTAGGATTATTCATACATTTGCAAAATATGTAAGCAGTCAAATGCTCTTCAACCCTACGCTTTTTTAAAAAAAAAATTATCTAGCCTGCTGAAGAATTCCAGAGCACTTGGACGCTTGCATATTTCATACAATGAAATAAATAAGTATTCCTTATAAAGACAAGCCCCCCCCTCTCTGTTTCACCATATCAAAACTTTTTTAAAAAATCCTTTTTCCAGATGCCATTCAAAGACTATTGGGCAGACAATAAATTTGTGCTATTTAAGCAGTTTAACACCTACACCCATTTGCTTACGAATTAAAGAACGACACACTCACACGTACAAAACTCAAAGAAACTTGTTTTATAGGCCCATGATTTTTTTTCACAGTGCAAGTAACAATAAAAGATTTAGTCATCAGAAACAAACCGGGGGGGAAAAGGTGCAATTATGCCAAACTATATAATTACAAGACCACCACAACTATAGCAGTTAATACCATAAAAACAGACAATTCCAACAGTTAGTAAACTAGAACTTGACTTACAGTGCCGTTTGATGGTGAAGCAAAGGGTCCGCTCCACACACAGACCGGACTTATTTCAAGGGAAGGACTTATCTTAAACCTTTATCAAGTTTATCATCCTGGACAGACACTGCCTATTATAAGGGCTCATGCCTGGACTTTGGAGGTAACAAAAGTTCCCACAACTGGTTTTGAGGTCAATAAGAATTGTGGGACAAAAAAAAACAATCCCGCAGCAGAATAAAGCATGAAAAGACTCCCGTACAACATCTAAGAAATATACGATGATCTATTTCTGACAAACAATGGATGTCTTTATTTAGTTCCCATGTTAAAAGTTTCTATTATTTCCATGCATTAGAATCCAGAACCAAAACCACCATCCAGACAACAGAATATTAACTCTGTAAAGAGTCAGAATCATCTGTGCTGTTCCAAGTCTGGAATTCAAGTGTGGCCGGTCAACAGACGTGCCCAACAGCAAACTTATAAAAGAAAAGTGGAAAGTGTATCGCTATAAAGGCAGCGGGAAAGCAAATCACCCAGAAATGTCTGAGTTTTGTTGGACAACGTTCTGTCGTATTATTATATAGAGTTCTTTTGTAAACCCAGTTACAAAAGGTTACATCGGGTTAAGAAGAGGCAGAAGGGGGGTCATTATAACTTTGTTCGGAAAAGCCTTAAACTAAAAAGAAAAGTTGAATGCACACACGTTGTACAATCTTAACACATGAACAATGTCCTATTATTATTATTATTTTAACATCTAATGTTAAGACAGTAACATCATATAAAACACACACACACACACATTCTTCATGGAATTCCTGCATAGCAGGAGGGAAAAAATAAAAACATTATGGCATGAAGCAACAAATTCCCGTGATAACAACAGAAACGGGCATTTTCCAGGCATAGCAGAAATTCAACCACTCTTGCACAAACTGAGCAAAAAATAAAAATAAAAAAGGTAAGAAAGAAAAAAACAGACAGGGCAGTTAAGAGATCAACCACCCTTCTATTTTAACAGGGTTTTAAAGAGAGGCACTCTTGGCTAGTGGTGGCCAGAATGCTTCCCCTTAGGAGTGAAGCCAACTATGATCCTGAAAACTCAGAAAATTGCACTGAAGTAGTCCTTAAGGCATGTAATCCAAACCTGAGAACATAAGGGGGAAAATATGGTGTGTTTTGTTTTCAGAACAAAAAAGGGTCATTTAGTTTCTCGGCTGTAACATAAAACAGTTTTGCCTCTAAGGACGTCCACCTTCCCTTCAGCCTTTTGGCTGGAAATACCAACCGTTCACTGGCAATGCCAGGATGCTATGAAGCCAGCGGTCTTGTCCGCCTGCCTGCTACACCCTGGAGAGAAACCTGAACTGGGTACAAATGTCCCCTCTCTCCTCCGCTGTGCTCCTTAATCAACTGGACAGAAGAACATGGCAAGAAGGCTGGGATGTATTTCATAAAGACCCCCAACCTCTCTCTCTGGGCCTTAGCAAGAGCAGGGAATAACAGTAGTTCAAGCATGTCTATAGGACCGCACATTTTGCATGTTACCTTCTCTCTGCTAAGGAAGGAAGGAGGCAGCAAAGAACTGGATGCATAAACGAAAGAATGCCAGAAAGACAACGCTCCAGCAGACCGGGGTCGGGGTCCTGTGTTCTCAACGGCGCTCACGCTTCTGTGTTCACAGAGTATTACGGGTTGGTAAAGGCCCTACAGTACCTCCGACTATCAAACAAGGCGTCAGGGTTTACATCTTAAAGGGAAAAATAAAGAGTTTGCAGACGGACATTTTCCATACGTTAACAGTTTGCGCGGGAGCAAAAACACGACATTCAGAATTATCAGCATCTTTAAAACAACCGTGGCATTCTTTAAAAATAAAAGAATCGTTGCAGAATAAAGCTGAAAATCAGCAGTTGTTCAGTACTCTTCCTCGGGCCGAAACATCATCGACGACGACAACAACGAAAACATTGTCAAGAAACGACGCCAGCTCACGAAAAAAAGGTTTCTCGTTTAGCAGTAAACAGAAGCAAGAACTTTTTTTAAAAAAAACCCAACAGGGTGGGTTTTTTTCCTTGATAGACACATAAGCATGCCAAGGAGTTACCAAATAAAAGGGCAACCCTACAGATGGACGGACAGACCACTCCTTTGTGGTACCATTACAAATTCCCAAACGGCTCTTTAAGAAAAGAAACCTGCAGGAAATCTTGGCATGTGCTTTTAGCACAGCTGGACTCAAGAAGACAGACCGTGGAACCGTCCCGGGCTTTTGACTACAACGGGTCTTCCCGCAGGACAGAGAGGGTCTCCCGAGTATCAGACGGACACAGCCGCTCAGCTAAAAGCTAAGAAGGGACCCAGCGATGTGAACGTACACGCCTTACCTGCGCTAGAACCACTGCTTTAATCCTCTATGTGAGAAAACAAACTCTACCAGCATTGACTTCTCCGTAACAACTGAGAACTCGCCTCTGATCCTATGGGATAAGGCGACAAGGAAGTTTAAAAACAACAACATGAAAACTCCTGTCTTCAAAGTGACGTATAAATTCAAGAAAACGCTCTTCAGTGTCACCCCTGGCTTTACAGGGGCCATCTCCTGCCAACGAAGAGGAAGAGGGTGGTGAATTCTTCCCGTTGACATGCCCAGAACAATCTGCCAAGTGATCTTTTCTACATTAAGTACAGCATCCGCACGACATTTTCTCACTGGCCGGCCCTCCATGAAGATGGTAGGTTTAGGAGCCTATCGGCAGACGTCGCCAGCCTATGCTTCTTTAGATCTTTACAGCTGCATTTCAAAAGAAAATGTCAAGATGGGTTAAGCAGTCAATCCTCTAAACACTAAAGCTACTCTTCTAGATAACTAAAATGGTGCTCTTAGCACGTGAAACAAGCACGGCTAAGCCAACCAGCCTCCCGTTATTGCCCTCTTCCGCCTCTCCAAAAGTGGTGCGTTGTGAAAACCTGGTAATTTTACCGACTCGAGAGAGCTTCTGCCAAGAGATTTTCATCTCTCTCTTCTCCTACCCTAACATTGCAGAATTTGGTTCTAAAGCCGTTCCACTGTTACCCAGTGCAGCTCATGAGTCGGCATGCTTTGCAACTGGTGAAATTAACAGCTCTTCACAAGTTGTATAGTTACATAAGTCTCCTGACACCATATAAATAAATAATATTTATACAGCTTAGACATTCTGACACATGCAGTAGATTTTTGTTTTGTGTTTTTGTTTCGTTTGTGGTAGGTAGTACGTTTTTTTCTTCATGATCACGTATGGATTTGTTCTGGACTGTCCGTCAGATGAAGCTAACCATCTTACGCCGGGCCGTGTCTGGCGTTGTCAACTACGTTTGAGGGGGGTTCTGAGTCATCCATGGGGAGAACGAGGCGCGTGCCCCGTATGACGAGTTCATGATCCCCAAAGCCCAATTCTTGGTCCAGCGCATCCTCAGACCCATTTCCTGCCACCCTTCTAGATGCCCCCGACGTCAACGAATCGGTGTTCACGGTGGAATCCCCATAGGTCAGACTGATGTCGCCGTCATTCAGGATAAGATCGGAGTCATCATCCTTCAGCTGCTCTTGGTTCTGAAAGGAAGCCAGGAATTTGCTGCAGAAAAACCCGACTAAACAAGAAAAGGGCAGTCCTTCATGTCACCAACACCCCCGGAAGCCAGTTATTTCCCAAGAGATTTGAACCCAGGACAACTGGCGTCAAATCTCATTAAGTCTCTAAGTCGCCTTCAGCCATACCCGCCATTTCCCCTGTCTGGGTTATGTTCATGGCTGGCTGGATAGTTCTGTGGTTCAAGGCTCTGGCTGTTGGGAGTTCAATTCCCCCACGGGGCCTCTTGTGAAGCAGAGCCAGCCTGGGTGACCTTGGGCAAGCTGTACAATCTCAGGGATCCCCAGAAGAAGGGAAGGGTATATTCTGTATATTCTGTACCTGGAAAAACCCTGAAAAGGGTCAACCTAAGTCAGAACTGACTTGCTGGCACATGGTTATCATTATCATCATCATTATCATTATGAGTATGAGTTATACTCATAAAATGGGCTAAACACCCACCCCACAAGAGTCTTGAGGAAGATGCTCAGTTCTGGGAAACCTGGCACATGGTTATCATTATCATCATCATACTCATAAAATGGGCTAAACACCCGCCCCACAAGAGTCTTAAGGAAGATGCTCAGTTCTGGGAAATACATCATGAAAGCACATATTTCTAGTATTTTTCTTTTAATATTTTCAGACTGCAAATAAGTGAAACTGAGAATATCGATCCCGCAGATATGGGGGGGGGGGTGTTTTCCTACTGTCCTTTCTCACAAACAGCTGAGCCCTGGATTCAACAGCTTCCCTAGCTGTGGGCAAAAAGGTCTTTCCAGAGTAGATAAATTCTCCTTCTTGAGAAACTCCCAAAGAAGTCATTGGAACAAACACGAGGTGAAAGGGGAAGTTACTCTGCGTACAGCGACACTTTTCGCATGGCCAGGCTGAGCCGTCTTCAGAAGAACCCCACTGACATTTGGGGAGGCTGCACACTTACCTCGTAAGCTTGTGGGCTAGTTAAGCACCTGGCAATGGGTCCACAGCAGCTTGGGAGCGTGGTTGTGAGAGGAGGGCCACTGTGGGTCAAGAGCGGCTTCAAGTAGCTGAGAGGGGTAATTTGTCAAAGAAGAGAGTGCTTCGACAAGAGCGTATAAGTAGGGCTATGGACGCTCACGACCGCCACAATTAACAACCACCTGGTCTTCTCTTGAATGCCAAGTGAGGGGTAGAGGGGTACAGTGTGGGCTAAGACAACCCTGGAGGTCTCTGACTGGAAATAAGAAAAGGAAGCTAAATTCCCTCAAATCTACCGTATTTTTCACACCATAAGACACACTTTTTCCCCACAAAACAGGGGGGTGGAAAGTCTGTGCGTCTTATGGAGCGAAGAAAACAGATTATATTTTCCTGTTTTCTTCTCCTAAAAAATTGGTGCGTCTTATGGAAAGGTGCGTCTTATAGAGCGAAAAATATGGTACCTTGAGATAACCCAGCGTTGGAACTATGCGACAAAATCGTAAAAATATACTTAGGAAAATTTCATGAAGCAATGATAAAAATTATATGACCAGCCCTGGGGGAAAAAAATTAAATGACACCACAAGAGCTAAAAGAGGTTGCGCTGGCAGAAACTTGGAAAGGAGTATCAAAATGGCAGCCGTAGGACCGCAGGGAAGCCATTTTATCTGACCTCCAGTAGCCTTACGGAAATTGTAATGGTCAACACACTGGCTGAAACACTGTGGCTCGGTGTAGAAAGCTGCAACAAGAGTAGGCCTTCTGGATGAATGGGGATTTGGTGAGGACTCCTCCATCGGCCTACTCTAGGTATAATTTACTACAATGAACCTCAGGATTTCTGCCCAGTGGCACTTGCAGGGGGAAAAAATGGTTTCCATGGACTACAGAGGTGAGGAAGGGGGGGCAAAGGACACACCACACTGTTATACTATGTGCTTCTATCCCTGTTTCATGCCCAACTGTGAAATATTTATTGATCACCTGGAAGAGGGTTTTCCTGAGCAACTACTTATGCTTTTGGAAAGAGGTCTGTTTGCAAGAGTCCCGAATAATCTCCTATGCCTTTAAGCAGCTGCAAAGAGCACCAAATATATCCTGGATCTGCTTGTGTCTCCGTGCCAGGGAAGTGGCCGCACGAGAGACAAGAAGCCACAGCTGAGGCATCCAAGGGACACGGACACCCTCCTGCCCTTTTGGAGGGGAACAGCTGTTCCCCTGCTTAGTGGCCAAGCTAAGAAACACAAACAACGTCCTACACGGCTCAAGACCGAGGAGTTCAACCCTCGCTTGGAAGGATACTTATGGTCAAAGTTGTACCACAGGCGGAACAGCCAGGCGCTCTCCGCTTTGGTGCTTCTTCTTTCGTTCTCTGGCACGCCCTGAACCAAACGAAGAGAACACAATGTCCGGTATTATTTGGAGTCTTCCCGGTCGGCAAGAATTGCTTTTCAAAAAAGGCATTGGATTTGCCAAAAAAAAAAAAAGGCCTGCCTCCGGCTACCCAGCCCCTCAACCCACGCACACACACACAAGAGGAGAATGGAATCTAGAAGGGTGTGGGGGGTGTATCCTTTTTCACAACACCTCCCTTGCACAAACCAGAACTTGTCTCGTGAAAAGAACCGTGAATGAAGACACCCAAATGCACCTTGTGTTGACACAGACCTTGGTCCAGCCAGGCCGCCAGGCCTTTGACAGGCAGAAATGGCGCTCCTGTTTCAGTTTTAACCCCCCTTGGAAATCCCTGGTGCCCCCCCCCCCCAATCCAGAATCAGTCGAGGCCAACCCTAATTAGCATCTGTGGTCAGAGGCAGTTGGGTCCATGCAAGATGGTCTTTCTCCTCTGCTGCTGGAAGAGCAACAGGCGGGTCTCTGGGATGATCTGGTGGAACACAACGGCCACCTCGAGTCCTCTAAGGACTGAATCCTCCCTCCAGGATATGACAGGAGAGGATAAATCTTTGCCAGATGACTTCAGAGCAAGGAGCCGTTTTCGTAAGTCCTTGGCAACGGGAAGGGGGGGCAGTTTGTTACACCGAAGAGAAATGAAACTCTCCAGTGACGAAATTAACCGACCGCAATGGGGGAGGCTCTACGAGCTCATGCTCCCTGAATGTGGACTACAACGTCCATAATCCCCTTGCCAGAACATTCATGATGGGAGCTCTATTCTAAAACATCTGGACAGCACGTGGCGGAGAAAGGCTGCACGGCAAGAGCCCGGAGGCTCTACGAGCTCATGCTCCCTGAATGTGGACTACAACGTCCATAATCACCTTGCCGGATCATTCATTAGGGAACGATGGGAGCTATATTCTAAAGCATCATGGTGGAGAAAGGCTGCACGGCAAGAGACCAGGGGAGAAGGGAAGGCAAAGAGAGAAAGGGAGCGATACCCACCACGTTTTCTTGATCGGCATCCACGCCAACCCTGCAGAAAGGAACACAAGTCAGTCTTATTCACGCCGTCTCAGGAAGCGGCGCTTCCAGCTCTCTCGCTGCTCGTGCGCAGTTGAGCAGTACACCTAAATATGCCATTTTGTTCCCATGGATTATTACACAGAAAACTCATCTTCGGAACACAAGGGGATTTGTTCATATCTGAAGGGGCAACGATCAAATCAGGAGGCCATATCTTAAGCGACCCTCTGAGAGATCCCCATTCATCCAGTGGATCTATGCAAGTCGAAACTAACCTCTCCTTTGAGTACAAATCCCCTTGGAAATGCTGCAGTTCTATCTTGCGTCGCCTGAGCCTTAAGCCCGGCTGACATCTCTGGGACCCGCTCCAGTTAAGTATTTCAGAAGTGTCTATTAATCGAGTGAGCAGCGGGTCACGGCTGTGAGTCTAACTATCTCGGTCGTAGGATCGTGACGACACCCAGTGGCAAAGACGGCACATTTCACAAGTGCGCACCTCCCCATTCAGTCCTTGCGGATCACCCTCCTTCCAAAATGGAGACCCCAAAGGCCAGCCACGAAAGGAGAGGCCGGCAAGAGTAATTGCAAGACTGCCTTGAAAGGATCTTCTGCTTCCTTCCCTTTTCTAACTCACACACCTGGAAATTAACTCTACGGACCTTCGTCAGACCAGACCTACATCTCTAAATAGCATCTACTACGGCGTCCTGAGATGAAAGCCTAGAACAGGATTTAAAAGCACAAGCCAACCATTATTTAGTCCAATCAAAGGCATTTTGCAAGTTTCTAGACCCAAAGATGCAATAGTCTGAAGAGACACTCAATTTTCTCAAAGATTAAATTGAAATGTGCTGCCTATAAACCACCTCATAGTGCTTAAATCTCTCTCTGGGTGGTTTACAATTTAATTATGCAGGCTACACATCGCCTCCCCTCCTCCCCCATCACCCAGCGAGCTCAGTACTCAATTTGAAGACCTCGGAAGGATGGAAGGTTGACTCAACCTTGAGCCGGCTACCTGAACCCATTGGGATTGAACGCAGGTCCTGAGCGGATTCTTGACTGCAGGACTGCAGTTTAACCACTTGCACCTTGAGACTCCTCATCAAGGACCTGCCAACTCATTCAAACAGTTCACTGCAGTCACGTCTGCGATCACGATCCGGCGCATGTGAGTGTCCCAAGGTCACTTAAAGGCGTCACCAAGCCATGGGTCCGTATCAACGGTCCGAGTGACCCATTTCTCTTTACCCAGGAAGAACACAACAGCTACGCTCACCTAATGTGGAGGCATGACAGCATGGGGGTGGTGCCTCCGCCGAACACCCAGACCGTGAAGAACACAATCAGCAGTGTCGTGCTGAACATCATCTGGCGTGCGTAGGTGGCCGTATCCCGAATGGCTAAGGCAAACGCCATGGCCCCACGTAGACCTGCGGAGAGAGGCAGCTGTCAAGCAAAACAAAATAACAAGAGGGACGGTCACCTCTTCGGTCACATAAAAAAAAATCAGTTGCTCCAAGACCCGGACATTCTGTATCTTTTCTATTCTATTTCCCACAAAGAAAGGCAGAAGCAAAGAAGGAGCACCTGAGCCACTGCAATAATCCACCAAGGTTAATATGACCGTTGCAATTAATACTTTCGGCAGATCTCTATTTGGGGAAAAAATGTATGTGCAGGTTTCCCTCTCCCTAACCTTCGGCAGGCAGCCCGTTGGGCTACCACTCACAGAGACTATAAAATCAACCTTCCAAAGTGGGAAAGGGGGGGGAGGGAGAAACCTTACAAAATTGTAATTCCCTAGCTCAGGGGTTGAGGTCTCTGGCTGCAGATTCCCCACTTGTGCCTCCTGCAAGAAGAGCCAGCCTGGGTAGCCTTGGGCCAGCTGCACAGTCCCAAGGTTGCCCCCTAGAGGAAGGGAAGGGTAATGCACTTCTGAAGATTCTCTGCCTAGAAAACCCTGGGTTTCACAAATGCTCTCTAAATAATTATCCTAATAGCCAGCCTATTATTTATTTATTTATTTATTCTATTTCTATCCCGTCTATCTGGTCAATTACGACCACCCTAGGTGGCCTAATACTCTCTTTGCTTCCATTTTGGGTTCTTGGGCTCCCTAAACATGTGGTTCATCATAAGAGGAAGGGATTGGATGAGCATCTAAATTGGCAGGACTCTTATTCTATTTCTATGTTGCTTAGTCGTGTCCGACTCTTCGTGACCCCATGGACCAGAGCACGCCAGGCCCTCCTGTCTTCCACTGCCTCCCGGAGTTGGGTCAGATTCATGTTGGTAGCTTCGGTGACCCTGTCCAACCATCTCGTCCTCCGCCGTCCCCTTCTCCTCTTGCCTTCACACTTTCCCAACATCTGGGTCTTTTCCAGGGAGTCTTCTCTTCTCATGAGATGGCCAAAGGATTGGAGCCTCAGCTTCAGGATCTGCCCTTCCAGTGAGCACTTGCTTAAGTTAAAACCTAAGAAAATCTGAACGACTACATCCTCCGTCTCTTTTCCTGGGCTCATTTCTTTCCTGGGTCATAAAACGATTATTTATTAAAATCATCCAACAGCCTCTCAACTGGTGCTTACTCACCTGCAAACATCATCATATGCTGAAAATTTGTTCCAATCTTGTTTCTTCTTCCCAAATTGAGCAAGAATGAAAGAGGATAAATGTTTGCTGCTCTTCCCAGGAATACCGCCAACTAAATGTGCGTACCTATTAAGGAATCATCTTTTCCCCTTCTTACTTGGCTTACATTAACGAGTGTCTGTTATACGACAACTATCCCTTTAAGCTTGCATTTATTTATTTATTTATTTATTTATTTCAACCCTAAACATAGCAGATACAGCTTCTGCAATGATTCCACTGGACACAAAAACGACAGCTTTACCTCCCAGGAGCAGAAATGTTAGGCTACTATATCAAGCAGGAGAAGTGAACAGCTTTCAGATTGTTATGAGACTGGATTCCAAATGAAGCATTGCAAAAATTATGTTCAGTCTGTGATACACTGGAGGCATGGAATCAATCTATTGAGAAGACGCTGCCATCCTATAATACCACATCGCCTCTGGGCATCTGTGCAAGCTTTAAGGTTGCTGAACGGGATGGCGACGGCCGGTTCCCGTATTAGGGTTGCCTCGCTCTTCTGCTGTGGAACGGTGAACCATTCAACAGCCGTAACGAAGGTTCGCCCTAAAGTTGGTTAACGAAGGAGTTGGTCTTTAAAGACCTTACGTGTGTTTTCGACCCCGTCTAAAGAACGAAGGGATGGTTTCAAGGTTGTTTGTCCTTCAGCCCCTCTTGGAGAAGAAAGGGTATCTCTTACTTGCCCGATATAAAAAAGGATACAAAAGCACCCACCACGAAGGTTGGATTAAAGACATGGTTCTGGAAAGTGAACAGCGTGAGGCCCATATAGGAGAAGATGAAGTTTTCAGCCAGGAAGTTGAGAAGCTCAAACAACTGAAATAATGAAACAACAGGGAGAAAGAATGCTTATCCATCGGATCATCTGACGCCCAACGCAGGGTCATTAACAGGAAACATTCAACACCGATTGATCATACATGCTATAAAAATCAGAACAGTCTTTAAAGTTAAGTTTTTAAAACACCCTTAAAAGCAAAAGAAACAATTTACAAATAACATACAGTAGGACCCCCCGTTCTCCATGAGATCAGTATCCACTGATTCCCTTATCCACAGTCTGAAAATATTAAAAATATATATTTTTTAATCCTATTTCTAAAGATGGAGTGACCAGAAATAGCTACTAAAGGGAGCCAGGAACTATTCTATGTATAGTGTTCGCTATTAAAATAGTGTTTGCTATAATCCGTGTTTTTCAGTATCGGGGGGGGCTGGAACTGATCTCTCATGGATATGGGGGTCCTATTGTATTTAGCCACAGTAAATAACGGAGGGGTGGTGGTGGTGGTGGTAGGAGAATCAAGGTGTAAAGAAGTTACATTTCAAAAGCAACAGAACAAATGGACATCAAGCTATTTGCCTGATTCACCGAGGAGCAAGAATGAATTGTGTTTAAGTTTTCATATCTGGCCACAAAGACGCGAATATTATGCTGCCTCAGTGATTCCCCACAGGATTCAACAAAAAGGGTACCTAGTCTTTCCCACACAGTGGGAAAATTAAAGAGAAATTTTTAATGCATACTAGTCCGTATCCCAGGCTGACCCAACGTAAACCCTCTGATTAGAAAACTCACCTGTTTTGTTCTGTGCTGAGATTCTGTGGATAAGTTGTTGTAAGTATAATGTGCCTGGGTTATCCCACAAAATAATACTGCAACGACACCTGAAAGCAGAGAATAAGGTGAGACGCCCGCTCTGCAAAACAGGACACGCAACTACAGCCAACACAGAGTATCTCACTGAAATGGGATAGCTTTTCAGCTATGCAGAATTCTTGGTCACAGCAGACAGAACAGAAACCAGCTCCTTCTGTCCTGTTTGCTGCTACGCACTCTTGAACTTGTTCCTCCCTGAGAAACGGTGTGGTACAGAGTTAGACCCACAGTCCGCCTCGCTCAGTCTCATTTACCTGTAAAACCGCAAGCTTCGGCCAGCAGAAATGTACTCCAAGACATGAGGAAGAACAAGCCGGTCTCCAGCAGCTGGAATTCACGGAGCTTAGTAAATTTTGTGACGTGACCGGGAGGTTAAGGAAAAGATCTTAGGGGTCACCATTGTGGAGGAAAACATTTGGCAGCAAAAGGAATTAATTCTACGCTGCTGTTATGATGACTGCAAAAACCAGCAGAAGGAGCATTCTCTTCAAAGCAAAAGGCAACAAACTTAAAACCCAACAGAATGCAACTTTTTTTGTAATTAGGACTTCCAAAACATCTGGGAAAAAGTGTTTATTTGGGTTTTTTTTCCCAAACTGTGAGAGAAGCACAGTAACAGACAGTTCATAATATTTCTGCATTTATATTGTTTGCCTCATTATTACACTGCCCGTTTGCTGATTTTTGTCTTATTAAACAATACTAATTCACTTCTGTGATCTATTACTTTGGAATAGTGCTGGTTTTAGCTCCCATTTATTTGAAATTTTTATTGTTACGTTACGGATATGGTACTTCTGCTACTACGCAGATAAAGATGCAATGATTTTTTTAAATGATCCAGTATGTTACTTATACAAATAATTGCGATTTGATATTTTTGTGAATAGCTAACTGCTTAACTTTGAAAAAAAAAGCATAAAATGTTCTGTCATACTTAATATGGAGTTATTCAATCTCAAACTATTCAATGTATTTATTTTATTTGGTTTGGTTTAATTTGGCTTGGTTTGTACACCACCCCTTTAGTGAATACCCAGTGGGATTCGAATCCAGTTCTCCAGAGTCCTAGTCCCTCACTGAGAATCCCTGTTCAAGGATGCTTGACCCTAAATATTTCCACACAGAACAGTCTGGGCACAAGGGCATCAAGACTTCAGAAAAGCACCCCCTTTTACAAATTTATTTCGCCCCTCTTGTGTTAGGCAGAAACAAAAAGGGTTCGGAGCTGAAGGAGCCAAGGGAGGAAAGGATATCAACGCCGTGACGACTCCCGTGGCAGCCCCCATAGCGAAGGAGCCACTAAAGATCCCCAGGAAAACCCCAATGGATTTAAACATGGCGGTCACGTCGAACGTATGGCTGTTGTCTCCTGCCGGCTGGTAGGCCACAATGGAGCTGGGAAGAAGAAAGCAAGGAGCACGAATTCGATCAGAGGGAGGCACAGAATCAACCCACCCAAAAACCCCATTCCCAAGGCTGGTTTTTTGGGGGGTCCTCAGCTCTCTGACGGCCCCCTTTTCCCAGCCAAAAAAAGCAAATTGTCGCTCCCAGAAGGAGTGGCGCTCCACCTTTAAAAGGTCCATGATTTAACACCCCCAAATGCTCCTTTTTCAAAAAAAAACTGGAAGTGGACATCTAGCAACTTCTCTTTCCAATTTTTTTGGGTGGGGTCATTTTTGGCCGTCTGCAAGGTCCCTGGAGGATTAGGGGGCAGGGAGGGGGCAGGATCTTGTTCTCTGGGCCTGCCAAAGCCAACCGCTCTTGTTGGAGGTGCTCTGGGGTAAGGAAAAGGAAGCCAGAGGCTTCTCTGTCTTAGCAGACCTCGGGGGGGAGGGGGGAAACACACAACTTACGAAGACAGCACAATGGCCACCGCATCATTGAGGACGCTTTCGCCAAACAGGAGGGCGTAGAGCTCCACGTCAACTTGAAGTTCGTGGAAGATCGCCAGCACCGTCACTGATGGAGTAAACAAGCAGCCAACGAAGGTTAAACAGGCACCTGAGACTTACCTTGATAGAATTCCCTACAGTTATCAGTAGAGGTGGGCGCGAACTGGCAGTTCGGTGGTTCGTGCTGGTTCGTCTGAGGGCCCAACCGGTGTTCTGTGGTTCAGCGCCCCGCCCTTTCTGGCAGGCACCCACTCGGAGACAGCGATCCGGCTTCCCTGCCCCGCCTCCTGTGGGCGCAGTCTCTGAGTGGGCGCCGGCCAAAGGAGGAGGGACACATCTGCTGGGCTATTCACCGAACCAGCACAGTCAAAGTGGCGGTTCGTGCCCATCTCTAGTTATCAGTGTTCCAAGATGGCTTGACCTTGAGTTCATAAGGGCTGCCATCTCATGTATTCACCACCATTTCAGGGATCTTTGGCCACGACATGAGATCTAGAGTAAAGTCCCCAATGAGTCATGAAATTTCCTGAGTGATCTTCAGCCAGTCAATCTCTCCCTTCCCTCTTTCCCTCTTCCCCCCCCCCCGCCTCGGTCTGTGAGGATAAAATGGGAAAAAGAAGAGCCACATACATTGGCAGACATGAGTGATATACATCTTCTATTAGATAGACTGTAGCTTGCTATAGCTGGCTGGATCTTTGGCCACGACATGAGATCTAGAGTCAACTCCCCATTGAGTCATGGAATTTCCTGAGTCATCTTCAGCCAGTCAAGAGCCAGAGGTTGGGAATTTGATCCCCCCCCCAACGGTGCCTCCTGCAAGAAGAGCCAGCCTGGGTAGCCTTGGGCCAGCTGCACAAATCCCAGAGGAAGAGAACGGGGAACCACTGCGGAGTATTCTCTGCCTAGCTTGTGACGGTGAGTTCCACCCACCAGTTCACATGTAGCTTATCCATAGCTAGCCAGATAGCTCTGTGGTTTTGGCTGCATAGCTTATCCATAGCTGGCTGGATGGCTCAGTTGGTTTGGGTATCGAACTGTGGAGCCAGAGGTAGGGAAGTTTGATTCCCCCACTGAGCATCTCCAGGGAGAAGAGCCAGCCTGGGTAGCCTTGGGCACGCTGCACAACCCCAGGAGGCCACCATAAGAAGGGAACAGCAAACCATTTCTGAGTATGGTCTACTTGTGAAACTCTGAAAAGGGTCACAGTGAGTCAGAATTCGCTTGACAGCACATGGTTATTAGTAGTAAAAAACATATGAGTAACATATATAGGGTGTACTTGGTGGGACGTGGCAGAAGACATGCTCTGGGGCTGCCCCCAAGCGATGGAATTCCTTCCCACTGGAGGTCAGGCTCTACGTTCTTGCGTTCTGCGCACACAAGAAGATTGCACCATGCATCCCAGAGACCCTAGCCAGACTGTCGTTCTGTTCCTTTCCTCACATTCCCAAGTTACATCTTCTTCCACAGAGCACAGTGAAACAGCAGCAAAATCCAAGCCGAAATTCGTAGAGCATCGGCTTTGGATTCAGGGACGAAATTGGCGCCGTACCTGGGTCGGTAGCGGAGGCGATGGCCCCAAACAACAGGCAGTCGGTAAAATAGAAGTCCCCTGCAAGCTGCCCCATCACTTTCATCAGTGCGACACAACCGTACATGATGGATCTGCGGGACAGAAGACATCGTGATCTTATCGAGCAAAACACCAGGGATCAAATCTGAACGTTCAGCGCTGGCCAGTAAGGACGTCCGTCGAAAACCTATTTGTCTTTAAGGACACATCTCTAACAAAAATTTTGCTACCAGAATAAAAGCATTTAGCTTTTTGCACTTCATCCCCTCTACTAAACGCCAGGGCCTCTGAGGAAACCCGTGGCCGAGACCAGGTTCAGCCATAATAAATATAACAAAAATGAAGAACAGCTTCTCACCCAGCTGTTAGATATCCATTATCAGTTTTCACTTCTTTTACATAGACTATGGCTTCCTATGGCTGGATAGCTCGGTGGTTTAACTATCTGGTTGTGAGTTCAATTCCCCCACTGGACCTCCCAGGAGAAGAGCCAGCCTGGGTAGCTTTGGGCAGGCTGCACAGCCCCAGGACTCCCCCTAAAGGAAGGGAAGGGAAATACACTTCTGAGTATTCTCTACCCAGAAAGGTTAGCCATAAGTCAAAATTGACTCGACAGCATATGACAAGGATGACAATGATAATATAGCTTGCTGGGCTTTCTAAATATTTTGCTTAAACTAAATGATGACTCATAGAAGCCGACTTCAGAACAGCTTTTGCTTCAGTTTCAATCTACTGTTATTTCAATTTGTTTTTAATCTTTTCAAAGCCTTGACTTGCTTGTCTCAGGTTTTTGTATTTTTAGGATGTTAAACCGTTCCTTCGAAAAC